CCCCGCCCCGCCCCCACGCCACACTGTCTAAAATATTTTTCATCATCATATTGTAACTATATTTATTAACCATTGTTGTATGTTTAAGTTTGCAAAAATGGTGGCTGAAAATGAAAAAGAAGGAAGAAGAATGATTTTTTTTTAAAAGCTGACTAAATAGGGTTTTCATGCGCGGTCAACGAGTGTATTACACTTACTAAGTCATGTAAGCAAAAAATGTCAAAATGACACAATAGAAGCTAGCATAAGGTGTCTATAATGAACATCGTCAAGTTAAGGTATCTCAATGAAATTTTGTGCTAACTTTAAGGGGTCATCGATGGGTTATAACATCAAAAATCACCTTTCAAGTTTTAAAACAATACAAACTAATCCAAACCAATAAATTATTAAAATGTTGTTAAATTATTTGAAATGATTAAAAATGTCTTTCGTTTATGGTTTGATTAAAAAATGTCATTGTCGTCAATATTTTAATTCAAAAATGCCCTTATAGGCTTACAGTTATTTAATGGGTCAAAAATGCTTATTTTTCAAATAAATATATATTATTTTTTTAACGCATTCTTTTTCTAATAATAATTTTTAAAATTAGCAAATATTTATTCTACTTCATTTCAAAAAAAAATCTCATTTTATTATAATTATTTTTTATCATTATATAAATAAAAATTAATGATGGATATTCTATGATCTTATATAAATGACATAAATTATCCGTCGAAAAGGTACATGAAATTATTTTATTTTAATTGATAAAATGAGATTAAGAAGAAAAAAATTATTCCCCTGCATTTTTATTTATTAAAGTGATTTTAAGAGAAAGAAAATAAGAATATGGGTCTTTAATAATAGTTTAATTAAATAGAAGATTTGTTCAAAAAGAAAAGAAATAATATATTTATTCAGAAAATGACATTTTTGACCCATTGAGTAATTACAAGGGCATTTCTGGACCAAAGTATAATTGCAAGGGCAATTTCAACCAAAGTATTTATGACGGAAATATTTTTTAGCCAAATTATAAACGAATGACATTTTTGTTCATTCACATAGTTTAAGGGCACCAGTCACTTTAGAATATCGATACGAATAAGATATCAAAATTTCACATTTTTCGTGATTGCACGAAAAATATCAAAAAAATTAATTCGTAAACGATCGAAAAATATAAAAATCAAGAAAAGGACATAAAATAACCTCAAAAAGTTCTTGAATTGCACCAGTCACCTTAGAATATCGATACGATAAAATATCAAAATTTCACATATTTTCGTGACTGCCAGAAAATTATCAAAATTTTTAATTCTTAAACGTTCGAAAAATATAAAAATCAAGAAAAATACATAAAACACCTCAAAAATCCCTGAATCGCACCAGTCACCTTAGAATATCGATACAAATGAAATATCAAAAATTCACATTTTTCCTGACTGCCCAAAAAATATCAAAAAATTTAATTCATAAACGTCCGAAAAATATAAAAATCGAGAAAAAGACATAAAAACATCTCAAAAAATTTTCGAATCGCATCGATCAAATTAGAATATCGATATGAATAAAATATCAAAATTTCACATTTTTTTCATGATTGCTCAAAAAATATCAAAAATTTTAATTAGTAAACGTCCGAAAAAATATAAAAATCAAGAAAAAGACATAAAAACACCTCAATAAATTCCCGAATTGCACCAGTCACCTAAGAATACTGATTCAAATAAAATATGAAAATTTAACATTTTTTCGTTACTGCCCGAAAAATATAAAAAAATTAATTCGTAAACGTCCAAAAAATATTTAAAAATCAAGAAAAAGATATAAAAACACCTCAAAAAATTCTCGAATCACACTAGTCACCTTAGAATATCAATTCAAATAAAATATCAAAATTTCACTTTTTTTTTTTGATTGCTCGAAAAATATCCAAAATTTTAATTCCTAAACGTCCGAAAAATATATAAAAAAAAAAAAACATAAACACCTCAAAAATTCTCGAATCGCACCAGTCACCTTAGAATATCCATATGAATATAAAATAAAATTTTCAAATTTTTTCATGACTACCTAAAAAAATTTGAAAATTTTAATTTGTAAACGTCCGAAAAATATAAAAATACAAGAAAAAGAAACATAAAAATACCTCAAAAAATTCTCAAATCGCACAAGTCACCTTAGAATATCGATATGAATAAAATGTCTAAATTTCACATTTTTTACTGAATACTCGAAAATATCAAAAAATTTAATTTATAAACGTCCCAAAATATAAAAAACAAGAAAAAGACATAAAAACATCTAACAAAATTCTTGAATCGCACCAGTCAACTTAGAATATTGATACGAATAAAATATAACATTTTTTCGTGACTGTCCGAAAAATATTAAAAAAATTAATTTTAAACGTCCGAAAAATATAAGAATAAAGAAAAAGACATAAAAATACCTCATAAAATTCTCAAATCACACCAGTCACCTTAGTATATCGACACGAATAAAATATCAAAATTTAACATTTTTTCATGACTGCCCGAAAAATATCAAAATTATAATTCGTAAACGTCCGAAAAATATAAAAATCAAGAAAAAGACATAAAAACTCCTTAAAAAATTCTTGAATCACACCAATCACCTTAAAATATCGAAACGAATGAAATATAAAAATTTCACATTTTTTTGTAAATGCCTGAAAAATATCAAAAATTTTAATTCATAAACGTCCGACAAATATAAAAATCAATAAAAAACATAAAAACACCTCAAAAAATTCCTGAATCGCACCAGTCACCTTAGAATATCGATACAAATAAAGGATCAAAATTTCACATTTTTTCGTGACTGCCTGAAAACTAACAAAATATTTAATTCGTAAACGTCCAAAAAATATAAAAATCAATAAAAAACATAAAAACACCTCAAAAATTTCATTAATCGCACCAATCACCTTAGAATATCGATACGAATGGAATATCAAAATTTCAATTTTTTCGTGACTGTGCGAAAAATATTAAAAAATTTAATTCGTAAACGTCCGAAAAATATAAAAAATAAGAAAAAGAAAAAAACACCTCAAAAAATTCTCGAATCGCACTAGTCACCCTAGAATATTGATACGAATAGAGTATCAAAAGATCACATTTTTTCTTGATTGCCCGAAAAATATCAAAAGTTTTAATTCGTGAACGTCCGAAAAATATTAGAATCAAGAAAAAGACATAAAAACACATCAAAAAATTCCCGAATCGCACCAGTCACCTTAGAATATCGATACGAATAGAGTATCAATATTTCACATTTTCTCCTGAATGCTCGAAAAATATCAAAATTTTAATTCGTAAACGTCCGAAAAATATAAAAATCAAGAAAAATACATAAAAACACCTTAAAAAATTCCCGAAGCGCACCTGTCACCTTAGAATATCGATACGAATAAAATATCAAAATTTCACATTTTTTTGTAACTCCCTGAAAAATATCAAAAAATTTCATTCGTAAACGTTCGAAAAGAATAAAAATCAAGAAAAATACATAAAAACACCTCAAAAAATTCCTGAATCTCACTAGTCACCTTAGAATATTGATACGAATAGAATATCAAAATATCACATTTTTTCGTGACTGCGTGAAAAAATCAAAAAATTTAATTCGTAAACGTTCGAAAAATATAAAAATCAATAAAAAATATAAAAATCAATAAAAAACATGAAAACACCTCAAAATTTTCATGAATCACACCATTCACCTTAGAATATCGATACGAATAGAATATCAATATTTCAAATTTTTAGTGACACCGCGAAAAATATCAAAAAATTTAATTCGTAAACGTCCGAAAAGTATAAGATATAAGAAAAAGAAATAAAAACACCTCAAAAAATTCTCCAATCGCACCAGTCACCTTAAAATATTGATACGAATAAAATATCAATATATCACATATTTTCGTGACTGCCCGAAAAATATCAAAATTTTTAATTTGTAAACCTTCCAAAAATATAAGATTCAA